GACCCACCGCCGGTCACAGCCTTGGCGCGGGCCGAGGGGGGGGGCACTCCAGCACGTTTTCAAACCTCCAAATCCAGGATTTGAACCATAGTCAGCCATGTGGGATCTTACTCCCTTAATCACTAGGCTACAGGACTAATTCTTGAACAGTTTTTTTGGTTTTTGGTTTTATTTTTGTTTGTTTGTTTTATTTTTGCTATAGGGCACATGTGCTCAGGAGAGAGAGAGAGATGCAAAGTGGAAAATTATGTCCCAGGGAGGATAGACTTGCACAGTCTCTTATGCTCCATTCTCATCTCTGGATTTTGGTCCTGCATGCACATATGCTTGGTATGTTTCCCAAAGATCTAAATGTAAAACCTGTCATTTGATAAAAGAGATATATACACATACACACACACACATATATACTATCTTTGATTTGATTGTAAAACAATACATAAATGGTTTAGAAAACTATATTGTATGCTATAAAAATATACAATGGTTAAATGTAAATAGGAAATTATAGAAAATTGGAAAAATTTACACTTGACTTTTGTTAAGTTTATTTTGTAATTTTTTAATTTACATTTAATTGTTATGCATTTTTATGTGGTACAATATGGTCTTTCAAAGCATTCATGCAATGTGTAATAATCAGGTCAAGGATATTATCATAATTATCATCATCAACAAAGCACATTGCATTATGTTATATACCTTCAATATTTTTGCCACTAGATTTCTTTCTCTTATTTATTTTTTCACCAAATACATTAGATGGGCAACACCCTGTTTTTCACACTGCTGTGGTATACCATTTCATATTTGCCTTGCTTACATGCATTCTTGTGTCTTTTAATCAAGCCAAAGAGCAATTTTTTTACTGAAAACAAGTGATACATTTTTCTGCCATCTCATTTTCTTTTTCTGGTCCATAACTTCTTCATGGCATTTTTCATCTCTGCATTTCTTAGAGTATAGATAAGAGGGTTCAACATAGGAGTTATGACAGTGTAAAATACAGACAAGAATTTATCAATGGGTAAGGTAGAAGGAGGTCTCATATACATAAAAATACAAGGGACGAAATAGAGGACTATCACAGTGATGTGGGAGCCACAGGTGGATAATGCTTTGCTCCTTCCTTCCTGACTAAGATTCTTTAGGGATTGCAGAATGACCCCATAGGAGATGAGCAAGAGCACAAAGATGATCACACAAATTACCCCATCATTGGCCATCACAGTGAGGCCAATAAGGTAGGTGTCTGTGCAGGCAAGTTTTAATAAAGGGTACATGTCACAAATGAAGTGATCAATGACATTGGGGCCACAAAAGGGAAGGTTGTAAACAGAGAGAAGTTGGACTATGGCATGTGCAAAACTCCCAGCCCAAGCCAACAGCAACAGCAGAACACAGGTTCTTTGGTTCATGACTGTCAAATAATGCAGGGGTTTGCAGATGGCCACATAGCGGTCATAGGCCATGACAACCAGAAGTAAAATCTCAGCACCACCCAATAGGTGTCCTAGAAAAAGCTGAGCCATACAAGCTGGGAAAGAAATGTATTTTTTCTCATTGAGTAAATCAATAAGCATATTTGGGGTAACTGTAGTAGAATAAACAGCATCCATAAATGATAAGTAGCCAAGAAAGAAGTACATAGGAACATCCAAAATTGGGCTGATCATCACAGTCACAACAATAAGTAGATTACCTACCATTGTCACAATGTAGATGATCAAGAACACAACAAATAATATTTGCTGACCCTTGTGACTCTGAGTGAGTCCCAAGAGGAAAAACTCTGTCACATTGTTTCTTTCTTCCATATGTTCTTCTGTATGTTCTTATTTTAGTGTTCAGGACAAAATTACCTGCAAATATAATTTTACTAGTAAGACCATGAAATTTTAGGATAATATGCTTATTCACTCCACAAATAAGCATTATTATTTATTATGTTCTGAAAAACATAAAAGATTATAAGAATGTAAGGTTAAATAAAGCATGATCTCTAACTTCAGTAATCTTAATGACTAATGGGAAGAGAAAGAAAAATAAAGAAATAGTGAAAGGAGAAAGGGAAGAAGATATGAGAAAAAAGAAGGGAGTCACACACAAAAGACTACATAGTATGGGTATTCACTCATTCAATTTTCTCTTAAAATAATACTAGTAATGACAAACAGTTATACTCTCTCTCTCTCTGTTGATAAAAGAGCTTGATTTTTCAATGGCAAAAGTTTTGATAAAATGTATAGACCATAAATCTTATATAAGCACTGAACTAGAATTTATTACTCTAGACCAATAGTCTTCATCACTCAATGCTTCTTCAATGACCTGCTTCATTTTCTATGTCACCAATCTCTTTTCTATGTTGCATCATTCTGTTTGAGTAATTTCTCAACAGAAGACAAAAAATGTTTGAGCAATTTCTCAAAAGAAGACAAACAATGACCAACAAGTATGTGAAAAAATGCTCAGTACTAGTAATAATTAGAGAAATTCAAATCAAAAACAAAATAAAATATCACCTCATTCCGGCTAGAGTATCTATTAACAAAAAGAAAAACAAAATATTTGTGAGAATTTGGAGAAAGAGGAACGCTATTTAGTGGTAAATTTTTTCAATGGGAAAATTTGTTTTGAATGAAAATCAACTCTCAGGGACAGCAGGTGGTGTGGTGGTTAATGCACTGAACTCAGACATCACTGACTGCGGTAAAGTCACACCAAGTGCGTGTGTGTGCTGCCCAGATTCCAGGAGGAGGATGAAAAGAGAAGGGACTGTGACATGGCCATTCTACTGGCGGAAGAAGGGGTTCTCAATTACCCTCTCATTGTCTCTCTCTGACTAGCACATGCACCCCATGGGGGGGGGAGGGAATATGTCATTCAGCAACTTGAATGAACCTGCAGAACACTGTAAAGTGAAATAAACCAGGCACAGAAAGACAAATGCCATATGTTCTCACTCATATGTGGATAGTAAAAAATTTGATGTCATAGAAGGAGAAGGTAGGGGCCAGCAGATGACATGGTGAATAAAGTGTTGGACGCCCACATATCCTACAATGTTAGGATCTTTGACCTGGTGGCCTGAAAATTATACCAGGTATGTGTGTGTGTGCCCAAAGTCAAGAGAGGAGAATGAAAGAAAAGAGACTTGGGATTGGCCACCACCCCTGAGGGGTGATTTTTCCTTTTCCCTCTCTCTCTTTCTCTCTGGCAAGCTCATGTGCCTTATGAAAAAAAAAGTTTAAAAAAATGTAGAGAGTGAAAACAATGATATACTTTCAAATAATTTTTCTTTTAACATTGGAACATTTCCAATCTTTTTAGATAGGCAAAAATTATTACCACCAGTTTATGAAAGAAAGAGTTAAAATATTCTCTCAAACTATTCAGTAATTTATAATATCTAAATGTTACAAGTCATAAATTCTAGTTCAGTGCTTACATAACATTTATGTAGTGTAATCTATACATTTTTATTAAAGATTATTGAATTTTTCCCACTGAAATAGCAAGCTTTTCCTGCGCTTATCTTTTTAAAATTATTATTCATACATTAAATTGCTATATATAATCTAGATTGTGAAGAGACTTTACCCAGCATGATATACACCTCAGACCAGACCAGCTGAGACCACAATACACATCCTCCAGTGCTTATCTTAAATACACTAAATATGATTATAGAAATGGTGTATGACAGCAGTGACTAATGTCAGAAAGTGAGGCGACATTTTTCTGTGGATATCAAAAGACAAAATTATACCAAATTTAAGGTCCTAATTGGCTTTTATTGGCAATTTTACATTTGAGATATGGCTCATTCTATAAAATAGAATGCATGTTTTAAAAGTGAGTTGAGCAGAGGAGGTTGGCTTTATAGACAGAAAAGGGCTGAGGAAAGCAGAAACAGTATAAAATGGGGATTGGTCATTTCAAAGTTACTTTCCTTGTAAAGGTTAAAACAGAAGGATCTTTATCACGTCAGTTAAAAATAGTCTGTTTGGAGATTTAGCTTTCTTTTTCTAATTTTACTTTAGTAGGCATGAGAATTGTGGATTATAGTTAAACTATTTTATAATCTCTTATTTACATTTAATTGTTGTATACTTTTATGGAGTACAATATGGTTTTCAAAGCATGCATGCAGTATGTGATAATAAAACCAAGGATATTACCATATACATTGCTTTCAACCTAGAGCTTTATATTCTCCTCTTGGTTGAATGCTTTATTCCTGAGCTCTTCTAGTCTATTCTCCACCACCTAGCCCCTCCTTCCTTCTTGCCTTCCCTGCTATTATGTAATTAACATACAAAAATCTATGGGATTTTTATATACAAACAGTGAACAAATTGAGACAGAATTGTAGGCAAAAAAAATCTAATTTATAATTGCCCCCACACACACACACATACACACATGCAAATCCCAGGAATAAACCTAACCCAAGCGGTAAAAGATCACTACAAGGAAAACTATGAAAAAATGAAAAGAAAACTGAATATGATATATTTTATTTCTCTTCTAATATCTTGGAAGATAAACAACTTAGTTTTGACTGGGCGATTCAGAAGTTCAACATAAATACCTCCCATTTTGCTTTGGTCTATTGGGATGAGTACAGGAACTCAGTGCAAACCAATAGCCTCTTATAAATTTTATTTAACAAGAGTAAGTCACCCTGCTATATTTTATTCTAAAATTTATGTATCTGTTATCTAATTATTTTAATTTTGTGTATATTCAGGTATGACAAAAATTACTGTTTAGGACAGAATAATTTTTATTTTACACTTTGAATCGATATTTAATTTGCCTCGAAAAAAGAAAATCCTACCAATTAAAAGACGTCATCAAGGGCCATAGACAGTGGCTCAGAAGTAAAACAGAATACTCAGCAAGGCTGAGTTACATAGGAAGTTTCCCAGTTCATGAATGGAACGTGAATGTACCCATGATCCAGGTCACCTAAGGATGGGTAGATCTCAGAATTGAAATTGTGTTGGTGTGCCTGTCAGTCTGTTTTTCTCTATTTCTCTTCCTCACAGGAGAAAAAAATAGATAAGTTTTTTTTTAAAAGAAGATGCAATTAATTGAAATGTGCTATTTCAGAGATTTTTAACATGTAGAAAATCATTTGCATCTTAGAATAAATTATATGCCATACTATTTTTTTATTTTTTATTTCATTTTTTATACATTCAATCACATTATTATTTGACTTACAAAATGGATATTTCAACAGGTGAATATTTCTCCCTAGTACAGTTGATAAAACTACGAAGTATCTACGACAGATAATACCACATTTCTTTGTGCCATTAATGCTTTGCCTCCCTATTTTTCTTCTAAATGTCCTTCCTCAGGCCCTCCTCTTTCTCAAACTCTATATCTGGTATTTACAACTATATATTGTGTTTCTATATCCTTTAGTCTATTAGTTTCAGTCACAGAGTGTGGACACTCGGAATATATTAAATGGGAATATATCATGCCTCTCCTTCATAGCCTGGCTTCCTTCACTTAGCACTAAATCTTCCATATTCATCCACTTCCCATCAAAAGCCAGGGTTCTGTTGTTTTTTATGGCTGAATAGTATTTTATGAGACGAATAAGTAACGGAGGTAGTATAATAGAGGTTACCAAAAGCCTAGAGAGAGGAGACGAAAGAGGGGAATGGGAAAAGGTTGGTCAAAGGATGATAAGTTACAGTTTGAAAGGAAGAGTAAGTTCTGTTTTTTTATTACCCAGTAAGGTGATTATGGCTAATAATACATTATAAATGTCAAGAAAGATAGAAGAGTGTTATGTGAACATCAGCACTACAGACAATGACAACTGTTTGTAGTAATAGATCTGCCAATTACGTAAATCTGATGACTTTAAATGCAGAAACATTATTAAAACATCCAATTATATCTCAGATATGCATAGTTACTGTGTATTATAAATAAAATATTTAAACTTTTTTTAAAAACTTGAAATATAAATATATGAAAACTCTATCCTTTGACCCAGAAGCATTTCAAGTAAGCATCTCATCTCAAATCTCTGTTCTTTATAAAAACGATGTTTTACTAAATTTAGTGGTCACAATCCTCTTCTTAGTTAATTTATTTCCATAAACTGCAGTAACAATGTGCTTACCTATGTATTATTTTGTACTCTTGAAAGTCACTTATTCAAGCTATACAGATACAATACAATTCTCTAGTTTTTAACATTAAACAATGTCTAAAGAATACGGCAGTTGATTCTATCAAGAGATTTACAATTATATGTCAGTCAACATACTCTCAAATAGTTGATACCTGAAGTTGGTTTCTAACAATGCTTTACTAGGTAGAGTAAATTCATTCTGTATTTGTATAATATTAAAATATACAAGAGTATTACAGGATTGAATCAACACACATATATTTTAGCAATCACAAAGTACCTGTCATGTGACTGATTATCAGACTCCTCGGAAATCAAAACCAGGGAAAGCCCACACCACCAATAAACTGCTGCATACACTTCCTAGGTTACCTGCATAAGGAGACATTCAGTCCAAGTGCTGTATTGTTGTGCCTTCTCTCCTATCCTAAAAATAAAATAATAAACAGCTTCATGCACTGATACCATCTCTGTGAACACAGCGAGCAAAATAACACATGTGCCATCCCTGAAACTTAAAATGTTCTCATGTGACCAATTCTTTTCATTCTTTTAGGAAGTCTGCTCTATCTCAGTCTTTCACACTTACAAAGTTATTTTTTAAATTGTTGAATTTTCAAAAGGAATGTAAAAAAATTTTGTAATCTAAAGAAG